AAAAGAAGCGAAGACGATTTTGAGACTAACAAGACCATAGAATATGTTGAAAGGTAATAAGCACACAATAACTAGTGGATGGAAACCGTTAACAACTTGTTCTCAGGGGATAGAACGAGTACAACATGTAGTAGGCTTATCATACCCAGATTACTTCATTATAATCATTAGAGAGAAGTGCAGCATATAGTATAAATGTGATAAGTTCATGCGATGGCAGAGTGAAGGGAGCAACCATGCTTGCCACGGCACCAAAAACAACGAAAATATATGACGTGTTATGAATGGAGCGCTTTCTTCTTATCGCTCACTAAACGAGAATTCTCTAGGTGATGTTGGTATGCAGTAGGACCAAAGAACCTTACTGGGTACCCGTTTGAGTCAATCGACAGTCTACGAGGAAACAACTGATATAGATAAACGATCAAGATATGCAGTACGATTGTTTCTGACAGGCAGCTTTTGGAAAATTCCGCATGGTTTCTTTAATTTGCCCTTTAGTAGGGCTTAAAGCTACCTACTGAGCAGCCCATAGCTTTCTACCTAGATGTAATGGAGTTAATTCCGCTACCATTAATTTTCATTGGTAGTTTTTCTTCTCTTAGAGAAAAAATTTACATTGTCAAATATTTAACCTAGTATGGTAATGCTTTAGAACACCTTGTAGCATTTAATAGTTTTTTCGTCTATAACATTTAAAATCTTAATAAGTTTTGCCTTGTTCTTGCCGCGATTTCTGAACCGTTGGAGGTTCAAACGCTGAAAAGGAACTTTTCGTGGCAACGTGTCGATCTGAAAGAGAATACGACACATCGCCTTGGGACTGGCAGCTGAACAATATTACGAATCTGTAAACGATCTCGATAAGGATAAATGAAGATGAAGTCTTCACTTACATTGAAAGGACAGACAGTTATGCCAACTACTTGAACAAATTGTAATGGTTAAGCATTTTTTTTTTCCATTAAACCAGTTCGACGATGTTCAAGGAGTGTTGGTCATCTGTGCAGAAACGTTGAAATGATTGAAAACAATCTCTTTTCATAAAACCTCCTAAGCGGTTTCTTCTTTCAAAAAATGTGCTTCAGAGAAATTGCAGTCATATTCACACGTTTCAGAAATAACTGTGTAACAGAGGGCCACGATCGTACAGATCCGCATGAAGTACGGGATCTATTCGATGGTTTGCTCTTCGACTAAAGCACCACTTAGGAGCCAAACCTAAACATTGTTTTTAGAAAGGGAAGATAAAGTTTTCTATTATTTCGATTTTCCTTTTCGATTATTTTTTCTATTATACGCTTTGTGCTAGCTGATAACACACCGACCTCTGCACGATGTGCGCAATGATGTATGTCCGGAAGAAATACAAGTTGTTACCACCGGACATTGTCATTATATATCTACCATCAGCATCGTGTATAAAAGGGCATCACTGAGTGAGGATGCCTCATTCGAGAAGATGGCTCGCTGAGGAAGATCTGGCTCGACAGGAAGGCGAAGACGCAACGTCGAGGCGAACAACAAGCATGGACCATCGACTCGGATCACCGGCTCTGAGGAAGACGAAGACGTCGAAACGTTAGCCGAAAATAAATATATTTATCAACCTCGTGCAAGCTTATCAAGAAAGAATACATATAGTTTTCTATTAGTTTTTGCTGAATATCCGCTCGTAGCAATGTGGACATGACCAGGTACAACGGTGACCGCAACTTGCTAGATCGAATTTGTCTTCGCTGTAGTAGTTTAGCCTTATCCGTACAGTGGTTCTGTATTCTTGGAAAGTTTAGTTTTTTGCGAATATGAACCAGCTTAGCGAGCGATGAATTATTTCCGCTTATAAAATACAAAAATCTATAAAAATATTATAGTCCACTAGCAACGAGTCATTTCGACAAGCCACATTGAATAGAATGGAAAGTGTTTTAATCATGAGATAATACCATGAGTTATATATAATGCTACTTTGCTACTGCTGTACATTTTTGTGCTAACGCAGTGGATTTTGTGATTTTAATATAAATGTAACTTTCTCTTTAAAATGTGAAAAATGCAATGTGTCCTTGAGAAACAAAAGATGACCCTTAGCTGCTAACCGCCGTAGGAAAATAAAACATAGTTAGCTACCATCCCCATGAAAGAGGAGCCGTGGACAAGCGACCGGATACCACAGATAGGTCTCGTTTTCCAAAAATTTCTATGCTTTTCAATTTGGCCTTTTGAATGAATAATTATCACCAAATAGTAAATACACGTAAAAATGTGGGTGGCATTATTTTTTATAGATTTGTTGTTACGTATACGTGTGGTGAAAGGATGTTTGTGATCCATATATGGCTCACAATGTCGGCAACATGTGCAGAAAAACCGATTTTAAGCGGGTTTACTGAACTTAGAATGGGCTTATGAGACGTAGTTTTAGGCGGCGATGTCACTCATTGAATATTATGACATTACTTAATGATACAAAGCGATGTTACCTAATGGTCAACATTTAGTTAACTACGTGTTGAATGTTTTTGTAGAAAAAAATTTATGAAGTACTTAAGTTGACAGGAATGAAGCATACAATTAAAAATATCATGTTTTCAAACTATTCCCGGCGCAAATCACGCAATTTTTTACATAGTGAAAAGAATGCTTGGAGAACTCCTATGACGGCATGATTCCGATAGTGCCACATAGTGGCTTTCGATAAAACATTAAAACCGCTAAGGATGATGATGAACATCAGAGGAGAGCAGATCGGATGTTTAAGAATCAGTTTAGCAATTGTCCTATTTATGAACGATAAGATATAAGAATGATCCGACAAAGATGAGATTAATCTGACTTTACTTGCTTTTAAATGAGATATTGCAGCAGCAATGATGACTTTGTTTGCTTTTCTTATATTTTCACCGTCTTGACTTATAGCTCCAACAGTCACCGAATGACATATGAGCACCGGCAAACATCATTCATGTTTATAGTGCTTTGAAGTTGTCGTCTAGTGGACTCTTCTCCTAAAATGTGATTAACTAATACATCCATTTTTGTATAAATCTTTTAATTTTTTCTACCTTTTCCGTCAAGAGTCTAGGCTTGAAAGAATGTAACAGTGCCTAGGCGCTCACATCTTGAGTCATCTTCGTCTCATGACAAGTGCAGGATAACTTTCGTTCTCTATCTAACCACCTATTTGCCATCTTCCGAGTGCCACGTCGCCTGGTAATTACTCTTGTTTTTAAACCACATATATATTATTATTTTGACACAAATCCTAGGTCAAATCGCAAAACCCAAGACTACTTCAGGTGACCACTTAAGAAACGCAACGACACAGCTATTTGGGTATTCCAGGAGCAAAATTTTGTAAATTCAGTGAAATGCGAGCGAAGTGAAAATTGTGTAGAACTCGAACAATTCATAGTGAAAGCGAACTATCCACATATCAAAATATTAGGAAGTGATAGACGGCTTGATAGTACAGCACCATTATTTAAAAATTTTTGAAAAAAAAGAAAAGTCTATTTATAACATGGCGTGTAAAAAGAAAGCCACCTGAGTGCAGCTCTGTATAATAATAATAAAATTAATTTTAATGCTAGCAGTATCGTTTTAAAGCCTATAAAGCCCATTAAACTCAGCATCTGTGCCGTGTACTCATTGGTGACATAATAAGCTCTCCCAGAGCAGAAGTGAAGTTCGCCTATTAAAGAATACTCCAAACTCCCTCCAAATTTGTTTTCAAGTTATTTTATTGGAAGCTTAAAGTTGAGCTAACAGACAACCGACGCCACAGAAACTAAAGCCATTGTGGAACAAGTGCTATTATGGGTAACATTGTGTCAACTCATTAAAAATAGGCTAACCTAGGAATCTCCAAAAGCTATTGCTGCTCTGGAAGAATGTAGGAACTCAGCTGAAAAGAAAACTCCTCATAATGTATAGTCATGAGGGTGGCAAGGTTGAAATTATAGATTTACTACTGTAGTTAAGTTTGCACTTCGCTGTAAAATAACAAAACCTCAGTGATTAACTCTAGACTATTAATATTTGAACATAATTTTTCCAAAGGAAAAGCAAGAAGAAGGAAATACACCGTGAAAACAAATGCGGTCTTATTTAAATAAAGAAAGATTTCAGCTCATCTGACCACTGTTTCATGTAAAGTTTTGCGCACAAATTATCGATTTTACATCAAAGTTATAGTCGAGAAGTTTAGGAGACTGCGTTGTTAATCAGTCCTCTCGCCTACCTCCTACGTCTTTGCACTAGTTGAAATCACTACTTTCTTCATTCACCAACATAACTTTTTGTGGAACAACTAGTAGAACTCTTATTTCACCATTATTTTTGCGGAATACAGTCGTTAACAATTCCACCTACTAAAACGTTGACGGTGACATTTAAATGGAAAAAAATTAGAACGTAGGCGGAAAGAAGGCGTGATATGACTACGTATGAATTTCAACCATGCCACAAATTCGTAAACTATGCACCTATTAACTAAAGAAGTGAAAGTCATAAATTTACGACTAACAATTGAAATGGTTTCGAAAAAACTTTGCAGGCAGAAAATTACTTTTAGGAATACTACCTTACTCGTTTTGGCGTTTAATCAAAATAAAGGAAGAACACGGAGATGTTGCGAAGTTTTAGGCTTCGATCACTGCATTCACTGCTTTGCATCTTTATCTCTTGTTTAAAAATCAAATTTTTCAGTGTTCTTGTGTCAAAGGGACCTGTGGCTAGCGGTTCTCTGTGCTCTAATTGACATTGATAACACCGTCGCCTGGTGAGGCGGTACGGTTGACCAACCCAATCGCCGACCAGCGACATCATTGATAGCGAACTGTGTCTGTCGTCGGGCATTTCATCTTCTCGTTAAAATTAGGTGATAGTCTCGGATACGCTATCCGTCTCTTACCTTGTTCGCATTAAACAATTTCATTCATGAAATTCGCCGCCATATTCTTAATTTTAATTTCGCCAATCATTTCGTGTATTCAGTTATGCTGTGGACTAGACACATACTAGGACTATTTCGCCATCTACCAACACGAAATCGGATTAATATACAGGTTCATGAAATATCACCGACCCATTTCTTACAATATGATAGCTATGTGTGGAGATTTTTTAGTTCTTCCCTAGTCGAATATCGTCCTCTGTGCCTACAGTAGATGCACGTGCTCTAGCAGTTATTCCGTCTGTCGCTGTGACACCAATTGGTGATACAAATGGTAATTTTAGGTGAGAGTGAAGGAAAACTTGTTAAATTTTTATTTTCGTGGTCCTACACCACATATCTTAAGGAAGGCAGTACTTATTTTATACATTTCGTTACCTCGCATGCGTAATCCAGAAAGATTCGCGTTCGCGCCAGGGTTTTGCTACTACGTGAAGACTTTGTTTTCTTCATGCACGTCGTTAAGTGTAGGTCGAGCTTATTTTCCCAGAATCCAAGTATAGCCGCGCTAGCGCATTCCTTAGTCTTCACTACGTGTTGTCGCAATCTCTTGTGTATTGGTAGGAGCTTCTGCCCAACAAGTCTGGTACCAAATCCCCAACACAGGCAGAATGTCACGCGTAGTTCTCGGTGCGGGAAAAAAACATGGGTAATGCCTGTATTCTACCTCTAACCATCAGGCATCCTGCACGCCAAGCCATTAAAACAAAGTAGAAAACCTTTATCAAGCCAGTTGAAAATGTACAACTGATTTTAGTTGATTGTTTAACAGCTACTGTTGTTATTCCCCCATTTAGTACGAAGCACCGTAAGCACCATCTGCTCATTAATACACGAATGGAACTGAACAAAGCACAAAGAATAGTTGTGAAGCTTGGCAGCGCTGTGATCACTCGAGAAGATGAATGTGGTCTAGCTCTCGGTAGACTTGCGTCTATTGTCGAGCAGGTCCGTGATATTTTATTAAAGCTTTTCGCAGTCATATAAAATTTAATAGGATTATTTTAGGATGTAACCCCATTTTTCTTCGTATTACAAGAAATACTGGCTGCCATGTAATAGATCTTTCTTCACAAGAAGTTGACAGAAGTATTAAATTACTCACTGAGAATAAACGTACCATACTGAGCGATCGCAAAGCATCAGAAGTATTTTAAAAAACACAGAGATGGTTACGATGACTTTTTAAAAATTTCAAGAACAACAATGTGCATATCGACTCTTAATATAGTTGCTTGTGTTATTTTAAATTCTTTTTGCAGTGAAAATTTCTCGAGCACTAAACATGAGGTTTGGATTAACATGAATTTAAATCTAGGTCGCAGAGTTACAACAAGCCGGTCGTCAGATGCTCATAGTGTCATCAGGTGCAGTAGCATTTGGACGACAAAAACTTCGACAAGAACTTGTTATGAGCATGAGCATGAGGCAAACACTAAGGTGTGCTAACATGTATTTTTGTGCTAAGATCTTTCTATTTCTTTCATGAAAGTAGTGAAAAGCCAACATCAACCAATAAGACACTTGTCTTTCTCTAATATTTTCTCCTGACCAATTTCTTCGGTAGAATTTCAACCGACTTACTACTAGGATTTCATATCTGCTATTTAGAGGACCTTCTGGGATGACAGCAGACAAACGTGCATGTGCTGCTTCTGGAATGCCTGGTCTTATGTCACTTTATGAACAACTTTTTCAACAATATGGAATAACTGTTGCCCAGGTAGAGATTTCTTTCATCTTCCATTTGATTCTACTTTATTATTGAAATATGGAGTGAATAGACAAGACAGATATTTGCCATAAGAAATGTTACAGGAGCTACTCACTAAATCTTCAAAGATTCAGTGAGAAAAGGAGTTCGACTTTGTCCTTGTCTCCTCTCATATTTACGACTAGTTTTATGGTATTTATTGGCGACTCAGACTATACGCGCTACGCATCAATCTAATCGAGTCCAAGATCGCTTAATCTATAATCGTTCTACGTTACAATAACGTTTTTCAGGTACTGCTTACAAAACCAGATATAGATGATCCTCAACGCCGCAAAAACCTCCACGATACTATTGAGAGTCTTCTAAACCTCAATATTATTCCAATCGTTAACGCTAATGATGCTGTTGCACCGGATCCCAAACTAAACATGGTACGTTAGTAGTTACCAAAGGTGGCTTGTGTTGGATAAACAAACAGCTCTTTCTTCGTGGGCGAAGCTTATATTAAAGCATTGGCGCTTGTGTAACGAACAATAAGCCGGTTGTTCAGTCCACAGCGCCGCGGCGCGCTTTTTTCTAGCAGAGTCAGCAGGGTTACATGGTAGTGCGTTGCCAGAAAAGTTTTCTTGAAGCAGTAAAAGAAATTTGGCTTAAACCAAAGAACTGACCTATAGACAGGAAAACAATATGTGATAATGACCATTCCTAGAAACAGTGTGGTTTTCTCCCGGCAGTTTTTAACCACCGACGTTGAAGCAGAAATTAGAACGATTAAATTTTTCTTACTATTGCGTGAAAGAGCACAGTAGGCAACAGCCGACGAAAATTTTGTAGCGTCTTAAAAGATACGTGCTTGTTTCTGGAAAGCTTGAACTATGTGTGTGTGCCCTTGTGCGTGTGCGTGTGCGTGTGCGTGTGTGGTGTGTGTGTGTGTGTGTGTGTGTGTCGTATTTTTAAAAGAGGTGTGTGTTAGTAATGAAGTCCGATGGCCGAAGAGCACACAATTTTTAAAGACATAACTTGCCGAGGAACCAGAATCACCCCTCATTTAACCCATCGACGACTGTGCTTAATTTTAAGCCTTTATGGTCCTTAGGAGTTTTCGACAATAAACACTAATTATTTCAAATTTTACTGAGCAAACACGAGGTGTTACTGTATTCTTTGTCACAATGAAGCCTACTTTTCGGCGAATTTTGCCTTCCCCAGAAGCCGGAAAGATCAAGGAAATCGCAATCTACATAGCCGAACTCCTCCATGACCAAAGACGTTCCATGTAAACTCTGTGTGGTTGATCTCCACATAACATATTCAGTGGAAAACTCATAGAAAGCGATAACTGCGCAAAGAAGTTATTCTTTGTTCAATTTGATTGAAATATTTGTTTAGCATTTTCTCTGTTTGATTATGGAGGTGTTTGACTGGGTAGATTGTGGTCAGTTTGACCTTTCCAGTCTCTGAGGAGGGCGAAATCCGCCGGAACGTCAGTTTGTTCTTGAATAAGGAATAAAATAACACCTCGCGTTTGTTCAACAAGAATATAAAGAATTGTTCGATCAAAGCCTAAATTAATAGAAAGTCGGTCGTGGGAGCAAGCAACAACTCTCGAGAACTGGAGAGCTTGAGAGAATGGCAGATTAGATGAGAGACTTTGTCTTATCGTTCTTTACGTTTGAGTGGCATGAAAGCTACTGTTTACTATATGCTACTAGAGTGCATCTAAACATTTGGAAAAATTTCTAGCTTATGATTCTATTTCTGTGCTTATTTTATGCCCTCTCACTTCATACAGTGACCATGGTTTAATACACTGATTCGACTCCTTACCAACGCTCCTCATAGATCCATTTGTGGATGCCCTTTCCTGGTTCTCTTTAGGATTACAGGGAGAAATAACTAGGCTAGGATTCTACGACATGCATAAAGAAGATGAAATCCTCAAGCAGCAGCGAAGCAACACTCGAAATGTGTAAAGACTATTGGGAGGTTGTATGCGAGGAAATGAATTGGATGAAAAAATCACCTCGATCCACAAAGTAGATGTGATGATGGATCATGTTAAATGTAAAAGAAGTGTATATGTTGTACACTGGCGAGGCCTCGTACGCACATTATAGTACATATACCTATATTATGGGTCAAACCATTAATAGAAATTGAGAAGAATAATCAGACCCTGGAAAAGGACGGTAGTTAGAATAATACCACATGTTTAAAGCATATCTCCGATAATGACCTGTTGGCCGCACGACTTTCTTCAGAGATAGAAGCCGAACTACTCATAATTCTCTCAAACGTAAACGGTGTATACACAGGTACGATTCCATTGATTCCCACTGAATTTATACCACTTACTATGTGAAAGCGCTTTTTTCAAGGTCCGCCCGGTATGGAAGGTTCTCGTCTACTTCATACATTCGTACCTTCTGAAAGTTCTCATGTCGTTTTTGGAGCAAACAGTAAATTCGGAACGGGTGGCATGGAAAGCAAGGTGATGTTATGTGACTAGGAATGTTCACATAAATAAGCGCACACAAGAGAGTGTTCTAGTAAAATCAGATTCACTAATATTCGATCGATAGCTATAGAAACTTTTGCAAAGGTTTTGTTTTTTAACTGTTTATATTTGACATCTTTGCTATTCCATTTTGCATCGTTTTTCTATTTCTCCTTTATTGCTATTGATTTCGTCGCTCGTTTTAAAGAGTACCCTTTTAGAAATACATTATAGGAGATTCCGACAACTCTTTCGGTCTACTAGTAGTGAGATTTTCGCTTGTTCGATGCCCGTTGAACCAAATGTTGTGCTTACTTTCCAAGAAGTAGCTGCAGTGTTAGCTTCAATTCTCGACTCATACTAGCAAAGTTCATAGAATCTTCGATAACTCATGCTTAAAAGAATGGTATTGTAAATTTACAACATCAAAGAAATGAACAACAGTAGCGACGCAGTGAGTGAAGGCAGAGAGGGAGTGAGTCATCTTCTAGACAATTCGTTTTTTCTTCCGGAAAATGTATTGCAAGCTGTGCACCAGTTTTGCAAACATCATAACAAGCCATAAAATTTCTAATTTCTAATTAAAAGCGCTGTTCATAGAAGCAACAAAATCTTTTATTTCTCCAGTGTACCAGCATTCCAAGGAGTGGTTAGCACAGTGGTAGTGAGACCGATCATCACGAGCACGGTGCCGATTCGATCTCGACCCAGGTTCACGCCCCTCATCCCTCACCTTAATTGGTACCGGACTTTTCGGGAAAAAGTCACTCACTGCAATTCAATTTGGAGCGATCCAGCACGGCTATCCCAAGATTCCAGGAAGAATCGACTCTACCAGCACTCGACCACATTCAAGATGAAATGAAAAACCTTTAAGCAGTAGCCGAAGTTACGCGTAAAAGTTGGAAGACCTTCGTGCATTGAGGATGCGAGAAAACGAATAGAATGTGAGAAATGCTGGGATTGAAGACAGATTGTATGAAATAAAAAAATTAGGAGTATTGCACAACACGAAACTCAAATTCATCTCGGTACAGTTGAAAAACGGTGAGCAAGAAAAGAAAAACGAAATGACGGCATCGAATTTTAACACATATCAGGTGAACTAGTAAGATAAGAGATTTCTATTTGCATTTATAGGTAAATGCTTGTGTAAAAGCACTGGAGAATGGGGTAACGACTGTGATTACGAACGGTTTAGCACAAAATGCCATCACAGATGCAGTAAAAGGCAAGAAGATTGGTACAATGTTTTGCCGAACACTTCGCTATGAAGGACCACCAGTTGAAGAAATCGCCATCAAATGTAATTACACTTATCTTAAATGCTTTATATACAATAATATAAACTCGAAAGTTCAGGTCGCGACGCTGGCCGCCGATTGGCCTCTCTTAATAATGCCGAACGAGCATCAATGGTTCGATATTTAGCCGGACTCCTGGTTCAGAGGGAAAATGAAATTATGGAGGCGAATCGTCTAGACATCAGTAATGCCGAAAACAGTGGTGAAGTCTTCTCTTTATTTATGTACACATAGATATCAATTACTAACAACAGAATAAGCTAGATAATGATAACCTCGATTTATTGTGCAAATCAAGAGCAAATCGGAATAAACATTCGAAAAATAACGACACCATCCATTCTCAAAGAAATTTCGCATACCGTCAACGTACACTAAGACATAAGAATCAGCTGCTACTGACAAAAAGTGCTTGTAACGACACTGGAGGGCGCAGTTCATTATACACCTAAAAGGGTTTAGAAAATATTGTAATACTATCTCTACAACTGTGACTAGTATTGAAGGTTTGGAGCCTCAGCTTCTGAATCGCTTGAAGATGTCCAAAGAGAAGATTATGGACCTTTACAATGGATTGAATATCATCGCAGAATCAGCGGAAACTCTTATTGGACGATGTTATAAAAAGGTCGAGTTGACTGCTTTGGTTAGGCGCAATAGAGGATTTGATGGAGAGTACTTTAAAGGCACGAATATTTGAAGTTGCGTTTAAAAAAGTTTTTCCTTACGACTATTTTTTAAATCACGTTATTACAACGAATATAATCTCGCTAACAATAGATGATCTTAAGTCGCCGTCAGTAAATTGTTAATTCGTTGTTAGCACGCGTCTAGTGTAGCTTCTCAGTGCCGATTTAGAAAAACAAAGGCAGGCTACTTTCCCACAAGTCAGTTCTTTTCCCTTTGTGACGAAATGTACCCATGGATAGCTCGCCTAACTTTGCCGTTGCATGCTTTTACTTGAGGCTTCCAGATGAAAGCATCGAACTTCAAGGCCTAGATGTCTTTGGCCGGGGATGAAGCTCTGCTACATTGCGCAGATATTTACTCGGTTTTACCCCAAGGCTAGAGTGAGGCCATAAACCACTGAGGTGGAGAATTTCATATTTTCCAGCACAACATAGTTTATGTTTCAGATAAAGATAAGTGACAACCTTGTTCTTGAACAGGTTAGCGTGCCGATTGGTTCGCTAATGGTTATCTTCGAGTCACGCCCCGATTGCTTACCTCAGGTACTTTTTGTTGTTTTTACAGGAAATGTTTTCTCGCTTTAGTTTTTCTTCAGAAATGTTCAAGAATTTATAAAGTGGATGGACCAATCAGAATATTTTTGGAAAGCATAAACTTAAATTCATCGTTGGAAGTCTCGTATAAGACTTTTTTGCGTAAAATGCTCAAGCTTTACATTGAGATTCTTTGTTGTCTGGCCATAGCAAGGAGCCTAGTTCTGCTTTTTTAGAAGGTTTTAAAAGGACAAAAGTTTCAGTCTCCATACATTTGAGTTGGTAGTTATTCTGCAAAAAAATCCGTCCTATCATTGCATTTATCTCCAGCATCAGAATTTTGAACGTCGCGCGCTACGTCTCCTCATAGTTAGAAGACGGAGCTTATCACATCTGTTAACGAACTAAATTGAAATTTTGCAAAAATTTCCGATTGCTGCACTTGCCATGGCGTCCGCTAATTCTCTGCTTCTCAAAGGAGGAAAGGAAGCCGAAGAAAGTAATAGAATGTTGCACAGTATTGTTCAGGTAGGTATACACTTCCTGTGTATAAAAAGCATTGTTCGAACTCACATGAAAAACACCGAAAATTAGGAATCGCTCGGCACACATGGCTATGATATGCGAGATGCGGTGACTTTGGTACGAAGTCGTGAAGATGTGACAGAATTACTGCAACTAAAGGTTATTCCGTATAATTCTATTAGAGCTTCTACCCTTGCTCAGCATTAATAATGTAGCTACAGTTGAGATTCGTTCATTTTTGATGAGGCTCTCGAGATATTACAGTTATAGCAGATTTCATTTAGATAGGCCATCAAGGACGCTGCATTGCTTGCGGCATTTTCATTACTGGTTGAGAGTATACGATTTCTTTTCTGAACTGATTGTTTTAATACTGTTCTGTAGAGCTAGTGAAAAATCTCATTTTACGAAATAACACCTCAAATATCGATAAGGAATATTTCTTCATGCGCTGAACAGTTTTTGTCAAGGATCTCATTGATCTGGTAATACCGCGTGGATCGTCAGAGCTAGTACGAAAAATGCAAGTGCAAAGCAAAGGGATTCCTGTCTTAGGGCATGCTGAAGGGATTTGTCATGTCTATCTCGACAGAGAACTGGATGAACAAGTACGTCGTACTTCTATATAAAAGACAGGTGCTGTAGTTTAGTTTTTTAGCTGCGTGAAAAAATAGAATAGTTTCGCGCCCTTCGGCAGCCCACCATGCCGTTTCAAAACAAAAAAGGTTTTTTTTTGAAGCCGTTGTTATTTAGAGGTCTCGATCTACTGCTTGAAAAGTTTGACAATGAATTCACTTTCAAGAACTTTGACAAATAACTTTCTCATTACGCTCTATGAATCATCATTTCTTTCCTGCCTCTTCATTGGGTCAATTGTTATTGGTCGTTTGTTTTACTCCTGCAAAAACATGTTTTAGATGGCTATAAACATTGTCCGGGATTCGAAATGCGAATACCCTTCAGCTTGCAACGCTGCCGAAACAGTTCTCATTCACAAAGATCTCGTCAGCACAGCTTTCTTTGACCAACTCTGTGGAATGTTAAAAGTATGTAGCTTTCGAGTTTACTTATATATAAATATATATATATATATGTACATCAGTGTTTGTGTGAGTGCGGCCGTTTATGTGTGTCTGTGAATTCGACTATGACTTGAAGATCTCTAATCATCTTTTCTTACTGCCATATTTAATGCTGGTTGAGCGTAGCCTTCCGCAGAATCCGAAGATGACCGTGCTAACACGCTCCGATACCTTAAACTATGGAAGCCACAGACTTTTGCGAGTCGGCGGATAATTTGCAGCTATTTCACCAAGATTTTCCCAAAAAAAGCAATGACTACATCGTAGCAGCGATTTCTACGGATAATTATCGATTTACTGAAGAAGACTTAGCAGTCTTAATCTGGCCTTGTAATAATCTGCTTTCTACAGCAATAATAAAAAACCAGTAGTAGGGGAGACGTTTTTTGATCCCCTCAACTCTGATTTTCTTTAAGATTTCATTAACTGCCTTAGAAGAATGGTTCCTAGTGGACCGATATAGCGCTATGTGTTCATAATATGATAAACTCTTTATAACCTATCGTATTTCCAATTCCGTTAAAAATCTGCCACCCCTCTCTTAAACCACGTCCACAGTTTTCTTGGTTAGCAAACACGAGATTGTTATTAAAGCATTTTATGCACAATAACTGACGCTTCGGCAGTTTCGCCATCTTCAGAAGCAGGAACGTTTAAATCGACAATCTACTCAGCCGAACACTTTCATAACCTCAGCGGATAAATCTCATGGCACAATTTCTTTGATGTTTAATTTTTACTTTCTGCCCACTACAACTTTTACGCCAGGTTATTATGCGAAGTACAACCAAAAAGAAGCGGAGATATTTGGAAAACTCGGGATCGCAGGAGTCTGCGGTGGAGAAAGAACGCACTATTAACCTTTCCGGGCGCTAATGCGCTCATCACCACACCATGAGGTTTCCTCGTTCTGCCTTTTTCTCAGCCGTGTTTTATAGATGCTATCAGGAATCATCTGTCAACGAGATGTAATTGAAGTCACAATGTAAACTTTCCTTTTCCTGCCTATTACAGTCTACCTTGTGGTTTTAACTGCAGCCTCCGCTTAACTGGATTCAATGCCGATTTGGAACCTCCAGATCAACCCCGTTGACGGGTGATTGCTGGTGGCACAGATCGATAGAAAACTAACTGTGAGACAGGCGAAACGAGGGACCCGCATGGCGTGGTGGTGAACGCGTTACTCCGTTACTCCCCGGAAAGGGTAATAACGCATTATTCCCTCTACTGCAGACACCTGCGATCCACAGTTTTGCAAAGATCTCTGCATGATTACGGTTGCATTTCACGTACTACCTGCCGTGAGAAATTGTAATAGGTAGCAAGCAAAGTTAACAATGTGATGCATTTCGTTAAGGCCCAAGTAGTAGGAATATTGCTTCATTTTCAGCAAAGAATTAAATTTTTCAGCAGTCTTTTTCAGAGATTCGAAGGTTTAAAGATTTCATTCCTATATCTGGATAGGACTGCATTGGATGATTGTAGTTATGTGGTTTTCAGACGGAAGGCGTTAAAGTGCACGCAGGGCCAAAACTTCAATCAATGCTGAAATTTGGTCCACCACCTGTTGAGAGCCTCAAGTTCGAATACGGATGTCTGGAGTGCACACTGGAGGTGAATTTTTGCGGCCTAAGGTTTTTAGCGCATAGTAAAACAAGCGGATAGCACAGTGGTAGTGATAACCGTCATCACGAACATGGTGCTAGTTCGATTCCGCTCCGAACCAACCAAGCCTCTCATCCATACGGGGTTAGGAAATTGGTACCGAACTTATCTAGGAAAAATCACTTTCTGCAGTCCAAATGGGGAACTCTCCAGCCCAGCTATCTCAGTACTTCAAGGAGAATTGCCCGACCATCATTCTACGACATTCAAGATGGAATGGAAAATCCTCAAACACCAGCCAAAGCCACACGTGAAGTTGGAAGATCTCCGTGGACTTGGATGCGAGGAAACAATCGAATGTGAGAAGTGCTAGGACCTGCACAGTAGACGTGAAGATGGATAGAATGAAAGAAAGTGAAACAAGCGGTGTGAAGCAAGCGTAGTAGATAAAAAAGTTATACATTGTGACTTCCTTACATATTTTATTCCTATGGTATACTTTTGGATATCATGGTGTTGCGCAAGTGGCGGATTAGGGAGTTTCACACCACTTGGGGTCATGAACATACATTGAGTCTTCTTTTCGTCGGTGAGCATATCAAAGCTATCGAGTAGATTACGCAAGTTCAAAGAGTATGGCGAACCTCACACTTTTGATACAAACCTGTTTACTTTTTCTGTTTTCCGCGATATGACATTCATCACTAGGTTAACAAGCTCCTGGTAGCACAGATTTACTTTTGCCTACACCTGTGCACTTCATTATGGATCTGGCAAACATAATTTCAATTTGGAAGAGTCTAGTGGAGGAGTGTGGATGACTATGCCCTGTTGTACAGCATAGTTCCACGCGCAGAAACATTCTTCACAACGATGAGGGATAAACTGTCATGAGAACAGTGGCAGTTTTTGCGAAAATCGTAAATAAGTTCATGACTTTGGAACAGAGAACTCATTCGAAAGGTGAAAGGTGATCGATATAATTTTCATAGAGGAATCCTTGCATTGGTAACACATGCACAATTGCTTCGATTCTCCGAAGATGGTTAAAGGTTAACGGTACCGACTATTATGAAATTTATTACATAAGTGATATCACATTTTGTGACGCGACAATTCGTTATTTCTTGCCTTTTCCACTTAGAACCGCAATAGGCACTCCGTTTGTTAAGTGATTTAGGTGGTCGACAATGTTGATGAGGCCGTAGCACATATAATTCGTTATGGCTCTGGACATACCGAAAGTATCGTCACCAATAACGGTACAAGTTTCGAAATGTTTTAGATATTGAAGATATTTCACACAAAGCATTAGGAAGTTAGACAAACTGCCCCGCATTTCATTAGTGAGTTTCAAAGAACAAATTTCAGCGCTTGTATTAATATTTAGGCTATAAATGAGATATCCTATTTGAATTGATTAGGATGAAGATGATCCCAAAGTGACAAGAATAACAGTGCTTCAGTTCCTCATCTTAAAACACATTATATTCATTTCTGATGCGGTTGCTTCCTATTTGGAATTGATCGTATATTAAAGCGTTGGTTTTTTAACCTTTTAAGATATCACTGCTGAGCACTTTATTAAACATGTGGATAGTGCGTGTACATTCCATAATGCCTCAACTCGTTTTGCCGACGGCTACAGATTTGGACTGGGTAATTGACTGTAACAATCATCAATACTGTGTGTTGCTTATATTTTTGTTTCAGGTGCTGAAGTAGGTATCTCAACTGGAAGAATACATGCTCGTGGTCCGGTTGGTGTTGAAGGGCTGCTCACAACCAAATGGGTTTTACGTGGAGCTGGTCATACGGTACACGATTTCAAGCCGGTAGGGGTAGTAGCTGGTAGAAGTTCTTTACAGGACAACTATGCCATTTATCATAAAACCGACTTTCGCTTAACCTCAGGATAGGTGAATAATTCACTGTTATTCCTGAGAGCAAACACGACGTTGTTATTAAAGTATTTAGTAATACACAGTAGCCACGTTTTAAGGCTTTCGCATTCTTCAAAGTCTGGAAAGGCTAAATTGACATGCAATCTACTCAGCCAAACACTTCCATTACTTCACCAAGCAAAACTCAGGAAATAGATGTTTATTCGCATAGAGAACATCATAAACACTCACTTCTTTGTTCTTTCCAGGTCCTTCAGTTATTCGGTGGAGACCAACCTCAAAGATCATCACATGAGCGAGGAATGTGCCTGGCTTAGGTCAGAGAATCATCTGACCTATGGTGGTAGGTCATGCGTGGTCACGTGACGCTCCTTTTTGCGGCCATTTTTGGATTCCTAGAATTTATACCATTCCCGGAAAAAACAACGAGACTACTTTTTTAAGAATTGAAAACTAACCTCAAGGAGGAGTGTCAAGCGTGATCTAGCGCCTTACCTCTGATTGATTCTTTGACTTGAGACCTGGGCGAGGCACATTCCTCGCTCGTCTAAGACTCTTCGCGAGTGGACTCCCACCAAATAACTGGAAAACTTGCGGAGAATAAAGCGCTGATTGTTCATGAGAAACTGTTTACTATGCGAATAAACATTTATGCGTTAACTTTTGTCTGATGAGGCTATGGAAGCATTTGGTTGAGTGGACATATCATTTTGACCTTTCCAGCCTCTGAAGAAGGCAAAACAGCCGAAGCGTTAGCTACACTCTATTAGTAAATACTGTAATAATAACCTTCTGTTTCCTTATCAAGAAAAACAGTGAGATATATTATCAACGTGCTTGTCCGTTACTAGTCAGCTTTTGTTTTTAGAACGGTTGTTATCGATATCAACACGAAGTAATGAATCCAACAGAAATCTACAGAACGCCGGATGCGATCCAGAAATGTGTATGAAGACGAAATTATTGCAAAGCAATGTTGTGCGCAGGTTTAACAAGCATATTAATATCGTGACTTAGGTTGAAAGAATTGTTACTATGGTTACTTGTATTCACTAAAATGAATGATATCTGCTTAAAAGGCAACTTTGCTAGAACACGTTTGGAAAGTTGAGTTTCATTATAAACCGCTCCTTAACATGCATTGCAAAGGGTTGAGTTTTCTTCCTAAAAATTTCGCACTACTTGCCTTTTTCGACTACTCATTATTAATGCGGAACCTATTGTACATATAAATTTATTTACTCAAGAATTCAATTATTCCTTTTTGTGTTGGGTTAGTTGTAGATTAGCTTTTCAAATATATAAAATGGATGAGTTATGGAAAAAACATTACTTACTCGGATATTTGGACGGTCCGTCTTCACGAGCTGTGCGGACCCTAGCACATAAGCCATTCGTTCCTTTTTCTGGCAATCATAGTTCATGGTGGTGGTCTTATTCGAGCATGGTAGCGCTTGTGATTCACATACCGTGATCTGTAAAACAACTGCAGCTGTGGGTACAGCTGATTAACTTTGTTCACGAACACGTCAGCCCAGTGTGTAAGTGGTCGTCCAAGGAGACGTTTGCATTCTCTTGGAGTCCACTCCACTGTTCTTTTCGTCCATCTGTTGTCTGTTTTTCTCATTATGTGAACGGCACAACTATGTTTCGCTGTCGATGTATATTCTCTTTGATCTCGAAGATGCGACAGTTTTCGAAGGTCAGAGCTTCGCATTCCGGCTACATATTGAGGGTGCCGGTTATATTTCAAAATACATCGCTCAAGTGCTCTGTGAGTAGCTCGAGGCGTTCTTGACGTAGTTAAAGTATCAACCCACGTCTCTGCAGCATAACAGAGCGCTGGGAGGGCCGTAGAATCAAAGAGATTAGCCGGATTTTCGGGTCCTTCAGTTAGTCGGTGGCTTCCTTGAGAGGCCCGAATGCGGCCCAAGCTGCTTTTCTTCTTCTATCTAGTTTTTCCTTCAAATTGTTTTCCATGTTCATTGATCGCCCGAGGTAAACGTACAAGGTGCTCTCTGCTAGGAGAGAGCCATCCAATTCAATTTTTTAGTCCTCGCACAGTGAATTTTCCATGAACTAGGTCTTCCCCCAATTTATGCTTAGTCTAATCTGTTACCCTCTTCGTTGAACTCGCTGATCATTGTCTCTGCTTTTCTGTACTACTTGAGAAGACGAAGATTTTCTCCACGAAAGGAAAGTTGACAGGAATTTTCCATCAATGTGTGTACCTTTCTCATCACAATCGAGTGACTTCATTATCCACTGTAGTGCGGCAGTGAACAGCTTCGGTGATATTGTGTCGCCCTGTCGAACCGCTTTTCCTATCGGTATTGTAAAAGGTCGATGGAAAAGCTGTTTTTTCGTAGTGCAGTTCCGATAACAGTCGGACATAGCCCTCATGTAGGACGGGTCCACTCCTTAGTCGACGAGCGCCGATAGGATTGCATTCGTTTCAACACTGTCAAACGCTTTCTCATTGTCGACAAAAGTTAGGACTAGAGGCAAGTGGTATTCTCGACAAACTTCGATGACTCTAGACACGGTTTGGACGTGGTCCATGCAGCAAAATCCTTTTCGAAATCCTGCTTGCTCGACTGGTTACGCCTCACCCAATGTCCTTGATATGCGCAAGAGGATCATTTTCGAGAACAGCCTCTCTACTACCAAGTATATGGGACGATAGTTAAGAAGATCCCTTCGGTCTCCTTTCTTGGGCAGGATGACCGTGCGCGACGTCCTCCATTGGTCTGGGTTTTTTTTCTTTTGAAGGTAGCCTGTCATATCATCTGCGAGAAGTACGTGTAAATTGTGGCCTCAAGCTCTAAGGAAATCAGCAGTGATATTATCGGGTCCTGGAGCTGTGCCTCTCTTCATGCTTTCTATCGCTACTCGAGCCTCCGACGAAAGAATTCCAGGTGGTTTTTCTCCAGCGCGGATATTAGAGCCCGGGAATGGGATTGTGGAACGGAAAAGGTTGGTGTAGAACGTTTCCGCTATTAATTCCATATCATGGCAGGCAGTTTTGACGATCACATCTTCATAATGGCTGACAGCGGAACATTACAATCACACAAATCCCGAATCCCGATGCCTTTTTTAAGACTGCTTCTTTTCTCTGTTGCTTCCAGTATTTTTCTCTGCTTGTACCGTTGCAGATCTTTCTGGAAAGCTCTTTTGCAGCTGGCATTTATTACTAGCCAAGTTAAACATGTTGCAGTAGGATCAAACTTCAGTTGCCTTCTCTTTTCGAGCAACTCCTTAGTAGCGATGAAGATGCGATCCGATATTCTTGCTAGAGGAACTGAGGTGAATTCGACACAGCTTTTCAGTCCTTCGTCGAACAGCTCGTAGTCTTCGGCAGGGTCTTCTTTAATCTACCAGTCACGTTTGGACAGAACGTTCTCGTCGTATACAAATGTTCTCGTCGTATACAGCTCGACCTTCTCCTCGTGGTCAATGAAGAGAATTCTTTTCCAGCTTAGGCTGAATTGAATTTTCGCGCGAAGAAGGCGGTGTTCGGAACCAGTTGCGAATGACGTGACTACCGACGTGTCAAGTGGCACCATCTTCTATTGGTCAGGATTTGGTCGATCTCCGCTTGAGTCATGCCGTTGGGAGACTCCCATGTCCAGTGGTGGCTTTCTTTCCTCTGGAAAAACGAGTTTCCATGAAGGAGACGTGTTGCTGACAGGAGTCCTGAGAGACGTTTTCCATCCTCTTTTCCTTCTCTTAGTCTAAAATTTCCGATTCTGTATTCGCTGTCGTTGGCCTTTCCTATTCAGGCGTTGACGTCTCCAACAACAAATTTTTGATATGCTTTATCATTGCGGATGACTTTCTCCAACTGATAGTAGAACGTATTTAATTCGTACTTAACAGCTGCGTCGGTCGGTGAGTAGCAGTTGATGGTAGTGATCTTCTCATGGTGCGACAGTTGAAGGTGGAGGACGGTTACGCGAGGGGAAAGGATCACGTGTGCGTCGACGAGATGGACAATGGACGTGTGGACGACAAGGCCTACGCCGCCAGCATTTCGTGACGGGACCTTTTCTCCACGGATCACAACGGTCCCGTTGTTTAGTTGGCGTATGTCGATCTTCTCGATTTTTGTTTCTTGTAATGCGTTCACATGAAATTTAATGCGATCTGCAGCTACAAGAAGGGCGTAAAGATCGACGTCTGTGGAGAGTGTTCTTGCATTATACGTGCATAGTAAGAAACAATCTCCATGGCGTGTCGTGCGTGTGTTCTTCAGGTCCGGTTCCAATGACGTCCTGCGTAACCCGATATTTTCTAGCCTCTCACTGGTCGTACCACCGCCTGACGTCATAAACAAAAGCAACCAGTGTGGGTTACTGAGGCTGGCCTATTGCTGATCGTGCAACCTTGGTCCTCTCTGGAGTCCTGACGTAACCTTGCAAGGGCGTATACAGGTCTTCACCACGATGTGGTCCAAAGGAAGGTGTGTTTTCGGCGGCCAATCCTTCGCTCGGTCTTCCTAGTTGATTCCGAAAGATGTTAAAACCGAAATCAAAAACGAAAGTAGGAATTTAAAAGCAACCGACTGCTCAAGGACGATGTAGAAGCCGAATCCATATCGTATGTATGTGTCATATCCGTATGAAATAAACGTGTGTTGAATAATATCCCGTGAAAATTACCGGCTCTACTGAATTGCACACTTGGAAATGGAACTGTTACCAGATCAAGCAGAGAAGCTTCGGCAGTTTCAGGAGGTGACTAATTTAGCGGAACACGTCTTGGCTGCGGCCAGAGTGGAGTCCGTGCGTTGGAACTTAGAGCAAGCCATTGAATCGTGTCTGTGTGGAGATGGAGTCCTTGGACCCGATGTCGATTTACGAAAGTTACCGGAATTCGATGAAGCCAGTGTTTATGAAGATGAAATGGAAGTGGTGGGAATTCTGAATAACCGTAGGTATCATTGACGTGCTGGACTGCAAACATCCGTTAAACTAGTTGGAGATGATACTACTGTTGTCGACATGGAATTATCTCGCCCCTCGTTATCTGGTGTGCCATCTCATCGTCCTCAAAGTGGGAAAAAACATTTGGATAAATAAGTAAGGAGTTTAAAAAATATGATTATTCGCATTTCCATGTAGACCAAGAAAGTTCATGTTTTCATCGGTTTTTCCGTAGTAGAGAACGCAAATGGCGCAGTGGTAGTGATGCCGTTCAATGAGAGTGAGGCTCTAATTCGACCACTCCCTAGTCCTACCATGCCTCTTATCCCTTATGGTTGGTAAATTAGCAATAGACATTCCTGAAAGCTATGTGTAATCCAGAAAAGCTGGAGTTTGCTTGTGGGGAAGATATGGGAACATCTTAGCGCAACTATTCCAGGATTCCAGAAAAAATTGAGTCGACCAACATTCAGTCACATTCTGAACGAAGACCAGAAATCCTCGAGCAGCAACGACACCTACACGCAGAAATTTGTTGGTGAATGGAAACCACCCGAAGGAATGGAGGCACTGGGATTCACGTAATATGTGGAGTCGTGCGAAACAAAACAAAAAGCACGCAACAAAATCGATAAATAAACAAAAAATCGATAAATAAACAGAAAGTCAATAAATAAGCAAAAATCAGTAAGTAATTAAATAAATCAATGAGGAATTAAATGAATAAATAAATATGTAAATAAATAAATCAATAAATAAATGAATAGGAAAAGTAGGTCACTTGATATAAAAATAACTCAGTGAATAAATAAATAAATGAATAAATCGATAAATAAATAAATAAATAAGTAAACCAATAAACAAATAAATAAACGAATAAATCATTGAATGAATAAATTAATTAGCAAATTAATAAATCAATAAGTCTATGAATAAATAAGTAAACAATTCAATAAATAGATAAATAGAAAAATAAATAAATAAAATAATAAGTTAATCAACAAATAAATAAATAAAGTCAATAAATAAAAATAAAACAATAAATTTAGAAATAAACAAATCGATAAATAAACGAATAAACAGATAAATAAAAAATAAACAATTAAACAAGTAAGTCAATAAAAAATGAGTAAAGAAATAAATAATTAAATAAATAAATAACAATTATTCCCTCTATGAGGAAACGCGAGGTGGTTAAGATGCTGCCTATTCTTCCATAAATGTGACGGTTTGGTGCACTTCGTTTCCTTGTGGGAATGAAAAGGTTATGTTCGGTGAAATCTTGTCAGCCAAATACCTGCATGACCTCAAGAGGAAAACCACGATACTTAGATTTCAATCGCTTTGCAAGCAAAGCATCTCCTGCACGCACTCATCGTTTTCTAGAAATCCTCCGCTGAGTCTTCCACATTGAAACAACAGCACGTAATACACATGTATGGGCAATGTGCCTCTCTCTCACTAAATATTGTTCCAGATAATGTGTGAGATCACGTGTGGTAACGAAGCATTCCTCTCTGTGGTTCATCTCAGGGTTTTTCAGTTTATTGAAAACGCGTCAAGAGTTTTATTCATTTATGTTTCAGCTTCCTTTGCAAGGTTAATGGTTTTTGCTTCAAAATCGTTTCCGTTATACGTTCATGTTTTACGCGTGTCTAGTGGGGGGTAACGGTTGACTTTAAGCATCCAAATTGGGTGCCTTTGTATAAGCATGGCACAGTGGTCTACCCTTTTCACGAAGGTATTCGCCTTACCAGCTTTACAAGAAATCAGGTACACTGCACCTCAACTTATACATTCGCTGTCTTTATTGTGAACGTAAATTATGCAGGTTCGTGTTTTGCACAGACGGTCATAAAAACGGTTACGAACTAGGCATCACAGAGTATCTCGCGGGGTTTCGATCACTGCTACCGATAGGTAAGATAAGCGGGAGCTTATTCTCTCCAGTATTATCGTTTGGAGGCATGATATTTTCTATACACCTATTGCGGAAAACTTCAGCTCCGTCTCCGTTTGACATAGATCTTTGCTGCACCAATTTCATGGATTCGTCTTTCTGCTCACTTCCCGTGCACGCACTGGTGCCTTTACGAAATACGTTTCTCACAATCTCGTTTCTGTGTATGAAGGATGAGAGGAGGCCTAATGAATGAGTATTTTTTGTTAAACGGTTTTCGGCAGCATTTCGTGACAACTAGCAGTTAAGCAAATGCACCAATATAACAGCTGGGAATTAGGTCTTCGACTCATTTCTCGGCAGCGAATAATCACTAGTTTCAAGTAAAACGCTCGACTTCGTAGGAAGTTGCCACGCGGAGTTTATCGACGTGTCACAAGGCAACACTTTGGGTAACTAAAACGCTTATAGCAATAATAATGCAAGAATAACGATATGTGAACATGGGAGCAATACAAACGGCAATGCGGTAACATGATCAATAAGTGAAGATAAGGCCGGCTAGTAGCTTTGCATAGACTGGTGGAGCAATGGCGATGTGCATGTAGGATGTAGAATACATCAATGGTTGTGCAAGAGGTACAAACAACAAAAGATTTGTGTGAGGCCGCAATATCTGACTTGACAATATGATAGGGTTACACATGCATGCTTGTGATATCGTTCTGATGATGTTAACATAAAAGGGAGTACATGTAAAATTGCGATAACATTGCGATGGGGCTGTCGTATTATGTAAAACATGATGGCTTGTGAAAACATTAACTTATAGTGACCGCATATTGGGGTTAATGTGTTTGAAAGTACATGACAATAGGACGAAGTTAATGTAGAATAGTGAACCGTGTGCAATAAGAGTTAAGAACTTGTGTCATCTACATGGCGTAGCGAATAAGACAAAGAGGGATCTTTAAAGGCAGCAATCAGAGTGAACCACGAGGCCATTCAAACGTCTTCTGTAGGAGTCAGGCAGTGTTTTGGAACAGATCCAGAACCTTTCCAGAAAACGCGCGTCGACTTCCGCTTCAAAATCTCTCATGACCAGATCAGATAAAAGAATACGGGTCTCCCAAACAACTTTTTGCCATTAATGTTACCGTATACTTGAAGACTTTTAACAAAAATAGCAATCAAAAGCTCTGATTAAAGAAAGAGATTTGCATAACAAAGATCGTTTGTGGCAAGCCGAGTTCCTCGGAATGAGATAAAAAATTTTTACATAGTGTGAACTTTTTTATGTAATGCTTACTGCAATTTCTAAGGCAAAGTATTATGCAAAATCAACCACAATGATGCTGAGATATTTGCATCTGCCGTGGGGATCGAACACGATATTACTCTTTTCGTCGGCTAACGTATTCGCCACCACGCTATAGGTGTCCTTCGTTTCGCATTTCTCTCAGCTAGCTTTCTATCTACCAGTGCCATCAGCATTCAGCAATATTTACATGCTTCTAGTTTGCTAAATGGTACGAGAAGCAGTGTATCCGGTTTTGGTGTGGCTTAACTTGAATATTTATAAATGAAGGCTAGCTTGTTTGTGGAACAACTCAAAATATTTGCCTCACTCACCTTGTGTAGAGAAGAAAACAAAACAGTCATCTATATATGTACAATAATGTATTGACCGGAGAACTATTACTGGGGTTCCACCTAATACACAGTGCAGTGGCAAGGCTCTGTGCTCGTCGCTGTTCCATTGCCAACTCTCTTCTCTGTGTAAACTACTTTCCGTATCTTTTGAAGATTAAGTAGTTCAGGTACTCTTTTTAAAAAACGATAAGCGGCTGAATCGACAAGTCATACATGTTTATTGCACTTTTGTGTTGCATAGAAAGTTTGTGGACAACTTGATGACATTAGAGACCTTTGCACAAGGGACAGTAGCGTTAAAGAAATTCATCGCCTACCCGCTATTGGGAGCGGTGTTACATAGACGGCCCAAGAAGAGTTAAGTGTTCGACAGATGGGCTAGTATTATGTGTTTTAGCAAGTGGATCAGTACAAAGTTTATATGCCAAGTTATCCAATCCGTGGACACATGTACACAGCCTATGATAGTTCCTACATTGAACGTTGAAAAGTTTCTAGACGCCAAGTCAATAATGGACTTTAACTTATGTTTTAATAAGTATGTGAAAGGTGGGACGCGCTAGTAACTCTTTTGCAGTTTTAGAAATAAATGTCACCTTTATCAAGTGTAGTCCCATTGATTGTCGAGTAAATGGAGCGGATGCCAATAAATCTTCTATTTTTTCCTGTCGGGTGCAAGTGTATCCCAGTGGATTCTGTCCGCTCTAGGGATTCGCTGAGCATCATACCTTTCTTCAAGGCTTTTAGAGAATAACTCTCACCATTAAGTTGGTGGTCTTTCTGCAGTACGTTTAACATCCCGAGAAATCCAGTAACTAACGACTATTGTCTATCGGTTGTCGTTGATACGCATTACGTGCCCAGACCATCTTATCTTCGACTGTTTGGCATATAGAACAGCATCTTTGATTTTCAATAGTTGCTGCACGTAGAGACAACAGATCTCTTCTCTTGTTTGTGTGATGCAGGATATTCCTAGCATCGTGCTCACGACTGCGATTTCAATAATGGTGACTGATCTTCAATCCTGCATACGCAGCGACCAATTTTCTGACGCGTAAGGTGGGAAGTATCGTAGAATCGAAAAGGTGGGTACGGGAGTAGGGTATTCAATCTGCTATTTACTATATCTTCGATTCTTTTCAAAGTTTCTTAAGCCGTTGGCTTCCTTCTGATTAACTGTGGAGCCAATTCGTTCAACTTGTTGATTTCCCAACCAAGTGAGACATAACTGGAGCATTCGGAGATATTCGTTCCGTTGAACATGGGTGGGAAATAGGAAACCGATCCGTTTCTCACGTACATCGTTTCTGTGACGTTTAGTCGAAGACCAACCTTTCCACAGGCTTTATCAAAGTCGGCAAGCAAACGTTCCGCTTGGATAATGTTTGGTGTTACAAGGACGATGTCATCAGCAAAGCGAAGATGGTGTAACTGCCCACCATCGGTTTTCACTCCCATATTATAC